ATCTCAGTATTGTGTCACATGGTGAAATCCTTTAAAATTGTGAAATTGGTTTCTACTTAAAAATAAGTAATATTACATGTGTTACATCATGGTAATAAAATGAATAAAAAAACACACATATGCACTTAATTAACTAATGAAAAAGTAATGGAGGGAAGCCACTTCAGGTCATCCCATCATCTGGATGAGCAGACACCAGATATGCAGACACTTGGTAATCCTGTTCACATGTGGCTTAAGCAGAGGTGAGAGAAGCAGACAGTTTGTCCCAATTTCACACCACGTGCATTATGACATTTTCGTGGAGCAATTCTGAATAAATGTGTTAGTTAAAGCCCCTACAAGGACCTTTCAGAAGTTTGTTATTCACCTAACCAGTTGGTGTGGACACCTGAACCCTGAATACCCTTCAAACAAGACATTTATGCTGCCACTGTTCCACTAATAATATGAAATTATACAAAAATGTGACACATTTTCTTCTTTTTCACCCCAAGCTGTCATCTGTTGAAGTCTTCCTCATCGGTGCTGTTGCCAAAGCTGTTGCCACCACTGTTACCTACCCACTGCAGACCATACAGTCCATTCTTAGGGTAGGTTTTGGGTGCCTATGCCTGTGGGTCTTTGTTTACGCATGTAAAATAAGAGTTGTTTGCTTAAAGGTCCGGTGTGTAACATTTAGGAGGATTTATTAGTAGAAATGGAATATAATTCATGTATAATCACCTGAAACTAATTATTGTGTTTTTGTAACCTTAGAATGAGCATTTTTTAGCTCAGTAAGGAAAAACCAAACACTGGCTCTAGATTGGGTCTGTTGCGTTTTTTGTGAGTTTCACGGCCACCGTAGTTTCTTCTACACGCTTGGAACAGGAGGGTGAGGCGAAGGGGTTGTAAACAACACCACAAGATCCCACTAAATCCTACACACTGGTCCTTTGAAATTTTTCTGTGTGATTATACATTTCCTCACAGAGTTTTGTATACAAACCAAAGCCATCAGAATTATTGAAAACATGCTATAATCACTCATAGAAATTCTGCTTTCAGAACAAATTTTGTTTGTTTTTTTTAATCACTACAGTTTGGTCAATTCAACGAGTCAACAGATAAGTCAAAACTGCTGTCTAGTCTAAGGACTATCAAGTGTCTATTGGTCAATAGAGTCAGGTGAGTACACGCATGCACATGCACACACACACACATATTATGACATATTGGATTACACATAACAGTTTTTAAATAAGGTTGTAGTTTTAACTTTATCTAATTTATGGTTCCATTTAACCTCCTTTCTTTAGATATAGCGCTCAACTCAATGATGAATTTTTTACATAGAGCTCTTTCAGCAGTTGGATTACAAGGAATTTGTTATAAAACGTGGTAAAACAACTGTTACTGTGTTTAGACTGGCTGCCTAAACTGCTCTTGGCATACCGAGATTAGAATCAGTTTAGGCAATCTGGATGACAACATCCAAATTGAACCATTTATGTTCAACCATTTATAGCTGGTATGTCTCAGTTTGGCCTCTTAAATCAGGTTTTACACAATCCTTTACATTATTTAAAATGACACATCGTGACTTAGAACATGTTTGATCAGCATGACTCTATATTGCTATGAAGAATTATCTGGTCTACAACTTCCTCTTATGGTCTTTATTTGAAAAGCTGCACCACAAGTGAGCATACAGAAACTGTTGCAGATGAGTTGACGATCCCTGAATACACAGACCTGATCACATGCAAATAACTGGACGGTCAAACTTAAAGAACTCATTTGAGAAACAAATCAGATTTGCATGTAGTCTGAACAGTGGGCGTTGTGCAAGAACATTTTCATATTTCTATACCAAATCTCTTGCAGCTCTTTTTTCAGCTGTTGTGTGTGCCTGAGGACAATAGTTGTTATACCATACACATGAATAAATGTTAACAAAGACTTACTCCTTCACATATTTAACATAGTTCTTATGTTTTGACCCTGGTTTCCTTCTGTAGGAAGTACGGCATGTTGGGTCTGTTTAAAGGCCTGGAGGCCAAGCTGCTGCAGACGGTGCTGACAGCTGCCCTCATGTTCCTTCTCTATGAGAAGATTGCCAGCTTCACCTTCAAGGTCATGGGAATGAGCAACAGCCACTACAAGAAACACTAGCTTGCAAGACACTTCACAACCATGGACGTTTGACCACAATAAAGCACTAACTGACTATTAATCACTGCTTACGGGGCATGATGGGCACTTAAACTTCCTGGGAATATGTAACTAATGGTGCCCTTATCCTACAAATACTATAAAAATAACATTGACTTTGACCTTCTGTAAAAATCATGATGATGACAAAAAAGGTTGGAAGTCCTGGAAGAGGTTTAAAGTCATTGAACATCATGAGGAGCTGTTGTTCCCATTACACCCCAACTTTTCCTATAACTACTGAAGTCACTTTAACATGTAGCTGTTTGATTCAGGTCTACAGAGAGATGTTAGAGAATGAACTGCTGATTTTCTCCTGTTGAAATAATAAAATGGATGTTACTACTTATTTCTGTCAGAGCTGATGTCGCTAAGGGTACCTGGGCAGGTGATCTCCAGCTTGTAGAAATATGGATTTAAAAATAGACACTGCCTCAGAGCAGATCCAGACTGAAGACAGTCAAAGCTGATCCACTGTACAGATCTGTTTGAGGAAACCTTTTATCTTCCTGTTGAAACAGCAGAGCACAGTCTGGCTGTGTACACACCACAGCTGCTGAGTCCACTCCCAGTTATTTACTGGTCTCACCACATCATCAGGCTCTGAACAGAAACCACAGAGTTATTGAGAGTGAAAGTAATTTGAGTTGCATTTGAACAGAAATAAAACCTAGTCGGAGGTTTCTAGCTGAGCCTGAGCTTCTACAGTCCAGGAGAGCAGACTCATGGCCTTCACACTGGAACTCTTTGGTCCACATTGGACGGTCCTCCTCACAGTCGAGCTCCCTACAGACCACCTCTGCATCCTGCAAGTCAGCTGTGCAAACCGTGGACCACGACTGGTTAGACTTCACCTCCACTCTGCCTGAACACAATTCCCATTCACCAGCCTGACAGGGTCTGGAGAGGAAGAAAGAGAGACTGGGCTTAAATTGAAAAACAATGTCTCTATTTCTTAATTATCTTTACATCAGGGTGTTTCTAAAAAATAATTTCCCCATCTGCTTGACCTAAGATGTTGGCATTTGTGGTTGTTTTACTGAGGATGCTCTGAGGATGATGATGAACTTTGATCAGGTTTATCTTAAGTTAGACTGAGTTGAGTTGGGAGGTTTTATCAGCAAAACCAAGTTCCAATATTTATACAATACTTCATTTCAAATACTCAAGTCAATACAGACTAACAGGTATCTACCACCTATTACAATTAGGAGGGGTGCTATTTCACTCATTTAAAAAAGGAAATGGGAACTTGGGAAGTTATGCAATTGTTATGTGACATAGAAAATGATTAAATCTGTTTATTAAAATGACAATGATAGCAACTTTATTTACAACAATAAGCGAGTCTTGATTTGTTTTGGATCCTGAAGAAAAATTTAATTTTAAGGTCCACAAAGCAGTTCTGATTTGTTCTTACAGGGACACTTGTCCCTTTGGACCCCACCAGATCATCTCCTATCTTTTCTTTTTCAAGAAATATTTATTTTCTTTATTAAATATTCATATTCATCAAAAAACACAGATATAAAAATGAATATGCTGTAAAACCTTGCGTCTATACAATGAAGAAAAGACTTGTGAAGTCTGAAACTGTTGGATCAGATCTTTTTTCTGAGGGTCTACTCTACCTATGAGCAAAATCCTTAATTTTAATTTTTTTCCAGCTATCTAAGGTTCCTTTCTGCTCTCCTGCGTGCTTAATTTACTTACATAAATACAAAAAAGACGAAGGCTTAATGTCATAATGTCGTCGAAGTCCAAGAAAGCATCAGGAATTTAAAAATAATATTAATAATATATAGATATATTACTATTACATGTTCTCCTCGTCTAACCTGATATAACACACATAATAAATATCTAGAAGGCACAAGGTACAGTAGCTCCTATCAGCTCAGACCCGAACCGGTGTCCAGCACACACCATGGGATACACGTGGATCGATCGTCACCGCCTGCGCTAATGGACATACGTGTGATGGGCGTAAGCAGCGCCTCTCCGGAGGCTGCATCGTCCATCCACATACTATACCAATCAGCGGTACGACGGTTACGTGACGCGGCAGTAGCTCAGACTTTCATAATTACGTAAGCACTTCAGCGGCTGTGGCTCTCCCTAATAACACATTCATATTAAAGTTGATTTGTGCCTTTTCACCACCATGGATTCAGCAATCACAAAAGAAACAGAGAAGCACTGCGTCCTGTGCTGCCAAGAAGTCGATATCTTCGCCTTGGGAAAATGCGACCACCCGGTTTGTTACCGCTGCTCCACCAAAATGAGGGTGCTGTGCGACCAGAAGTACTGCGCCGTCTGCCGGGAAGAGCTCGACAAGGTGGGCTTACCGTCGCTACTGTGGCTCGGGGATGGTGCCTGGTGTTGCTAGCTAGGCCGCATCATTCTGTTGGTTTTAATGGAGAAAATTTAGCAGAATTTGTATGATACAATCTTAGCTGCGTTCATAGTAACCAGTGAACAGTAAAATGTCTAGTAAAGGAGCCAGCGGTGTCTAACAACTGGCCAGACTACTTTCTTTTCTCGCTTTCTTTAGCTTAGCTAAGGTAGCTAACATGAGCACGTCCATCAATGTAGGTTAGCTAGTTGGCTCAACCTTATGTCAGGTTAGAGTTAACAACTTGGCCTCGGCAAGTGAGCAGTACAGTATGCTAGTCCACCAGGCCGTATGCCATTTATTAAATATAACAATTAACTTGTGATTTAATGAACTGTCAAAGCATTATAGCCAGCACAACAATCAGCTATAACCTCTCAAACAAACCAACGTGAACACGTTTTACGGTTCATCGGTGGTGGGGAGCTACTTTGTTGTTATTACCCGGTTACTGTGTATTTAAATGTTATTGTTTCTTAAAGGTAACTGGCGTGTGTGTGTTTCAGTCCCCACTTCCACTCGTTCCTCTCAGATAGCTAGATAAATGGACTTCAGCCAGCCTGTCAGCTCATGTGGACGGTATACCCAGGGCCTAGCTCTCCTTTCAGCAGGAACGCAGGCTGTCAACTTAAGTAAAGTACAAGTAAAGTGAAATGTGGGAAGTTAATGGTCAACTACTATTACAGCTTGACGTTGCTGTTGAACTGCTAGTGTGTGTGTGTGTGTGTGTGTGTGTGTGTATATATATTCTGTACTGCCTGGATTTCATATGCATTCACATAATTCCACAGGATACCCATCACATTACATAAGATCTTTGTGAGAGCAGTGGTAACTATACACAAGCAACATTAGCCCCTAAAAATGTTCACTTTTACCAAACTCTCAGGCTATAAATCTTGTAAATAATTTCTCAGCAGTGCACCACAGACTTCCCCAAAGAGTGTAGGTGGGACGAAATGAGCTACACTTTTTCCGTTCTGACTGTCATGTTGTTCTCAGGTGGTGTTCGTGAAAAAACTGGAGGCCTTCTCGTGTCTGCCCTATCAGCAGTTCCCCTGTGAGAAGAAGCATGATATCTATTTCAGTGACGAGAGGATCTACGCCCAGTACAGGTACTCTTCTGCTCCATTTTACAGTCTGTAAAGTCTGTGTTGTCCATAGACAGTTAATGTTTTTAACTCTCTTAAAAACAGCCAGTGGAGACTCAAGTCAAGACCAGTCAACAAATAACTGGCAATATATACATGCAACTATACTTACAGGAGCTAATACTGCACACAGTTGAAAAAGGACCTCTTGTCATCTCAGCATGTGGTAGCCATGGTGGAATAATCTTTGCAACCACCCAAAGAAACAGCGTGACTAAAAGTAGCATGGTAAATTAGGAAAAGATTCCAGTATGTCTTCTTGTGATAGCATTGCACCGTCCCATGCTGTGTTTTCTTTTACAGCTTCTTATTCTGACTAGAGTGAATGTGTGGAGACCAAATTGTGCAGTCTGCAAGTCTTTTATGTGCAAATACTGTACATAGCATGATCCAGCTGCAGGGATTTCTCTTTGTCAACCAACAGTAGAAATTGCACAGTAACCTTTAGGATTATTTGCTTAAACAAAAGAGAGCCATTATCTGAACTTTCTAGTCAACTAAACTGAATCATTAATATAATAGTTGTTTGAACACTCAGAGCAATAAAGTCAATTTCATCCATAAAAAAGAGCATTTTCTCTATGTTATCAGGAGCTCATGTGATTGGGTTTTTATCCTGACTGTAGTTTCTGATTGTGTGTTTGCTCTAACTTGACACTGATTGAATAAGTGTTTTGTTTTTTTATCAGGCATCTGCTGTTGCCAGAGTGCCTCCGCTGTTCAGAGCCTAAGGTCTTCTCCAAGTTTGAGGAGCTCGAGCACCACATGAGGAAGCAGCACGAGCTCTTCTGTTGCAAGCTCTGCACAAAGCATCTTAAGGTACACTCATCCCCAACCAGCTGATCCAGAGGCGTGTCAGTCTTTGGTCAGAGTCATAGTAACACAAAGCATTCCTTAACGTTTTAACATATTATCAAGCTGCATGCTCTTAGTGGGTAGATGTATTGTTTGCGGGACCAATTATTGATTTGATTGATTTCTGCCATTATAACAATGTCAGTTATACACATAAGGGTTTAGACGATGGGTGGATAATAGCTATGGTCAGATGTCATGGATGGAACACTAAAAATCTAACTTTGGGGCAAATATAATCACACATGATTCTTATAAGTTTATAAGAATAAAAATATTGCGGTATTAAAATATTTGTGGTCACAATATGCAGTTTACTTTTTGCACCACTCGAGGGCACCAAAGCATTATCCTATAACACATAACTGCATTATAGACTGCAACTGGAGTTTATTACACAAGATCTTATAATAAAGCCATTTTCAGTTATATTAAAAAAAGCATAAATTAACACAATCTTGATCTGGTATTGGAGTAAACACTGCTAATCGCATTACTGATTAAAGGAGAAACCATGACATTGTCAAGCTGATTATGAACAACGGTAAAATCTTTGGCGTCAGGTTAACAGGAAAGGAAGAGTTATTTTTAGATTTCAGTAAATATTGATCCATCTAATTGTTCCAAGTGCCAGTTGTTTTGCAGCTATTAATGATTCTCTTTGCAGTGTGATCTGCACTAATGTATTTATTTGGACAGATATTTGCCCCAGTAAGCGGTATGACTCTCCAAGTCCTGAAGTCCTGAAGCACTGGCTTTTATATAAGGATTTTATAAGGAGTATGGTCTAGACCTGCTGCAATTGAATTGATCATGCTGGTAAAGTAAAGATAAACTACTTACTGGAACATTTTAAGCTTACGTCTTCAGCTTTATCTTGAAGTATTGTGAATATTGTATGTGTACTCTTCAATGCTCTGAAATAAGCCAGGTGTGAAGTGTACGAAG